GGGAAATCATATGACAAATCTAAAATTGTTCGCATATCCGTGTTTTTCAGTTCCTTTTTTTAAATAGGTTTTTTCTGACACACATTTTACCAAATTTTACCAAAATTCCCGCATTTTGCCAAATTTCTCCAACAACGATGAATTTTCACAGATGTTATGTCTTGCCTGTTTAACTCCTTATAAAATGCAACTTTTTGTTGCTTTGAAACGCTTGGGTTGTGTATATATTATAACCTTGATCTTTTCCGCCTTCACTTGGTGAGGAATTTCAGACGTCAAAGTATTGCTGTTGGCCATAGTTTTCTATTAGCTCATAAATAGTTTCGACATCATTTTCCTATCGGCGTAAATCAGGTTATTATTATTATTATTATTATTATTATTATTATTATTATTATTCGGAAACTTAATTTTAAACCATTATATGTATATATTTATTTACATACGCACACACACTTGCTTAATATTATCAAAAGTGCCAAAAGAAAAGGCATAGAAAAGAGAAAAAAAAATATATATGCAGAGATACTAACATTTAGAAATACACCTACACATTTTTATATTCTTTACGGATAGACATTTGAACTTATTTAACCTTCAAGTAAGAAAAGAAAACAAAACTATTAGTCAAAATCCTAAAATGAAATAATAAATTGAACATTAATTATTGTTCCGAATTTCTTTTTCTTGGTTTTCATCCTATTGTTTTTATTTATATTTTATGACGTCTGAGTCGATATTTTATCTGAATCCAAAATTAATTTTTTAAAAAAAGCCGTGTTCTTGGGTTAAAAGCATATACGTTGTAAAGACAGTTTTTAAATATGCCACATACTTTTAATTCCCTCTTCGGAAAAATTAACGAATGCTAAGAAAAGGTCCTGACACATGGATGAATTATTAAGGGTAGAAAGGACGGGGATGACTAAAACGCTTAGCCTAATTGGCCAATCAGTATTCATTGCCATATCACGTCATCGCGTGATCTTATGCTTACGTGTGAACGAGACCTCGGCAGGTCCCACGTCAACGGTAGACATTGTCATTCTTTTAACAATTCATTCTTTCAATGTTTCTATTTCGACAATTGGTTTGGTGGAGAGGGTGAAGTTGAACTTTGTGCGTGTGTTAGCGTTGGGATAAATATCCATCGGGACCATACCTGACAAGCACTTGACGAAAATTCTTTTCAATCTCGTTAAGACTGTGGAATGGACAGAACCAATATTCGAACCGAACCCCCAGAGGTCCGAGTTTTACTACAGCAAACATCAGTTTATGTAAATGATAAACCTGGTGTTATATTTTTTCTGGCGTTTTTTCCAAATGGGAAATAATGTATCAATTTATCTTGATGTCTCCTTGTAAATGCTACAGATGATATCCAAATTTGATAATGAAATAAAGATAACATTTTACCATCTACGTTCTTCTGCAAAGTAGTTCAAATGGGCATGTAGACAGTCAGTTATGCGCATGCGTGATACACGCGTAAGCAATCACGTATCTTTCGACCAGGCAGATTTTTCCCGCAGTAGGTTGCCATTTCTTTTATTTCTTTCTGTTATGCTATTTACCCATAGGAGAAGAAGAGGATTCATACCTTTCATACCTATTAGCACGTAAGTGAATGTAATGGATTCGGCTGGGATTCGAACTCGGCTCTCCCATTCCTCAATCCGAGCAGCTATCCATTACTTCACCGTGTCATGTAGACAGCGATCTCACAAAGAATACTACTCACAAAGGCAATTCATACATTTGTTTCTTATAATTTGCATTCATCGATATATATATATATATATATATATATATATATATATATATATATATATATATATATATATATATATATATATATATATATATAAATATGTCTGAAGGATATATATATATATATATATATATATATATATATAAATATGTCTGAAGGGATATATATATATATATATATATATATATATATATATATATATATATATATATATATATATCCCTTCAGGTCGTGAATGATTGTGGCTCTTTACAACTTCTTATCCTTCATGTTCTGTCAGCCATTTACACAATATGATGAAATAGTTTCCCTCAGCTTTTCTTGCGTTCAATATTTCCTATGAATATCAATTTTTCAAGCCTCTTCCTCGACATGTGTTCAAGAAATTTTCTGATGAAATACAAGTGTTATTTTTTGTTTCAACTTTCCTTATAACTTTCTCGTTGCTCGTATTTTCAATCCATGGCGTTTTCAGCATCCCTCAGCCGAAGCACATCTTTGTTGCTTCAAGTTTCCTCTTTATTGTAAATTTTTTTTCAAAAGCTCATTGCCATATAAATGGAGTGATATTATATAGCATTTCAGCTCTCTTTTTTGTTTCTAACAAAATCTTCCTGATTTTTAATATTTTGTTTAGCCTTTGAGAATTACATTTCGCTATTCAATGCAACTTTAAATTTCAGTGTCGCATTTTCATTCTGTTAAAAATCTTTCCACACAGTTTAATTTCTGAATGGTAGTTATTCCTTTCTTCTTGCTTTCCTTTACTACCTTATCTAGGAGTTCCTGCAGTTTTCTTTCTGTGTTATATGCGTGTTGTTAAGATTATGCCCTTCAGAAATAAATACTGGTTAGACCTTCAGTTTCTCTTAGGGTCTCCCCACGCAGTAAAGGTTAAATAAATCTTATCAAAAAGACGAATCCTTGTCTTAAGTTTTCCTAGCAATTAAAGTAGGTCTTTTTGCCGTACCTTATCAAATGCTTTTTTGCACAATCACTTTGCACTTATCTCAAACATACATATTGGTCGTTTTACATTTGTATTGCTCGCTGTGATATTCTGATCGTAAATATCGCATTTCTTGTTCCAGTGTTTTGATCATGAACTTTTTTCAGTCAAATTCTACTACAGGCTCCCTGCATACACATCGTTATACATATATACACACACACGCATATATATATATATATATATATATATATATATATATATATATATATATATATATATATATATATATGTGTGTGTGTGTGTGTCGAGTTTTGTTAAAGATTTTACAGATAGAAGGGAAGACAAAGTGTGGTGTCAAGATTATTGTTAACGGGGATCGATCCACACGGCGGTAGGCCTTGTGTCAGATTATATTCAGTAAACATCTGGTTGTCTTCTTATCTCTTTCATACAGGTTTACGCGTAAACCAGCATTTTCGTTTTTCTCTATCACTGTATCTATCTGTCTTGGTCTCTATTTTCATATATATATATATATATATATATATATATATATATATATATATATATATATATATATAAAGGCTTCTTTCGGTGATAACTTTGTTTGAAAAGACTTTAATAAGATCTTTACTTGACTGAAAATAAAAAAGAGATTTACATTTTAAGATTCTCCTTATATATAACTATCTCAAATACTTTTCTTTATCTCTGTTTTCAACAAACGCACATACGCTTGCCCGACACATACATACATGCATACGTATATATATATATATATATATATATATATATATATACACACACAGTCGTGAGGAGATTTTGAACATATTTTTTCAATTTTGTTGCAAAAAGCAGTGCACACAACAAAGAAAATTACTATAATTATAATTAGAGGCCAAAGTTTCCTGAACTAAGTTTAATATGGATATATTCATCTAAGTCGGCTTGCCATCTATCCTATCTATCTATCTATCTATCTATCTATCTATCTATCTATCTGAGCTTGATTTTATCTATCTATATATCTACCTATCGAAAATTTCCCAAAACGTACTTCCTGTCCCAGTGTCCCCGTATGAACACTCACTTAAATGTAAGCGATAACACCAACAACCCGACTCCCCCCACGACAAATCCTCCTAACCTTAAAGCCAACCGCCATGTTGTTATTTCGTATGTTACATGACGCATATCACGTTGTAAATTCTGGAGCCATTTTTGAAATCATCCTCCATACCTCCTCCTGGCTTCCCGCCAAAACATTTTTGTCATCTGTAAACGGCATGTCAAAACTGATCACCGCCCTTTTCCGCATACCACTGATCTACAACTACGTATTTCAAGGAAGTTTAGGACGGCTTTTTGAAACAGAGTTTGGTGTTACGGAGGTGAGGAGTAAAAGGAGGACAAAATTATGTACTTTGCCGAAAAGAAGAAGAAGAAGAAGAAGAAGAAGAAGAAGAAGAAGAAGAAGAAGAAGAAGAAGAAGAAGAAGAAGAATACAGAATTGCGTCAGTGATGCATTTGCTGACCGAGATTATATCAATTGCAAATATTTTATCTATCTATCTATCTATCTATCTATCTATCTATCTATCTATCTATTGCATTTTCAAATCTATGCATCCATCACCCCGATCAACATATATATGCGTGATATTGTGTGCCCCTAACATTATCTCATTTCGATCTTGTTCTAGCTTTTTCTCTTATGTCACTCACACACAAACTCTCACACATTCACACACACGCACACACAGAGATACACGTATATATGCCATCTTTATCTCTCTCTCTCTAAATCCTGAAATCTCTGTCGCTCTATATCTATCAATTATTTTTTGTCAACTCTAAAAATTCACCTACGGCAAGTAGTACATCTATGTGTTTATAAAATCTGCCATATCCATTGAATGATATGCATTATGATGTAACTAATTCTGGTGGTATGGTGAATTCATTGTTTCTTTTCTTAAGCCATTGCCGACTAGTCATTAACTTTTTATCTCACTCATGATATTAGCCTTGTGCCAGTTTGACTTCCTTTAATAAATTAGTTTCTGGTATAGAATTTCGATATTAGTCGTCCTTTTTGGCCCCCATTTAAGACCAAGTGGTATCATGTTACCTAAATACTCACGCAATCTCTCCATTGCATTTTCCGATTTAAAAAATTCTGTTAATTGAAGACTTACAATTCTTTAAGTTTCTAATATCTATTGTGAAATACTTACAATAAAATCAGCTGAGGAGTGCGTGTAACTTCCATGAAATTCAAAGTACAGAATAATGGCTGTTCTTTATGCAACAAAAAAAGCAATCCTAGGTATGTGTCTGGAGTGAAAAGGAATCAGTTGGTATGATTACTTTTCGATGGTTCAAACGAATGATGTAAATATTTTGTTTCTAATGCGACTAATTGAAGGCGACAACGGTTGAAGTGTTCAAAATAGTTAAGAGATTCAGTATCGTACTAAATATATGCCTGTACTGAAACGGTTAGCGACTCGGGAAGAGAAATTGGTGTGCAGAGTTCTAATTCCAGCCCAGATCGATATTTTCTCATAAATATTTGGAAAAGATATAAATCCTGAGATGTGTTATATTTTTTTAATCATTTTACCGCAGGCAAAGCAGTAAATCCACTACGACACAAGGAGTTACTGTGTGTGAAAGAGTAAGAAAAAAAGAGAAACATTATTAGGGAGTATGAAGAATAAAAGAAGTGAAATCAAGAAGACAGCAGATAACGATTGACATTGCATTAAAATTTCTGAAGATCAGAGTTGGCTGGAAAGCCTGAAGCCCCACAGGTGAAAAGTGCGATAGAAGAAACTGTTATCATAGAACTTGCGATTGCATCTAGCCAATTTAACTGTTGATGAGACCTTGTTAGAAATTGCTGAGACTTTGTTACCAATTCATAAAGTCTAGGTATCATAGGGGAAAGTTAATTCAAGCAATTACAACGAGAGTATTTATAGAAAATGCACAGGGAAGTTACATTACGGCGGTGGGAAAGTGACTGAAGTCGAGATGCCAGGTCAGGGCCAATAACGTTGCGGATTCTTATTTGGATTTTATCAATAATCTTTAAGTATATAACAAGGGGCACCGGACCAAATGTGGCAGCAATAACAACTTTGAATGCACAACCAGTTGCTATTGCTACTAAGTAGATAGACGCTCTTCTTTGGTTGGTAATCTGTCTAAAGATGGTGGCTCGATTAAAACAGACGAAACACTAAATCAGCGTCGCCAATTTTGCTTTCTTAGAGCTGGCATTATCTTCTTTTTCAGTACCTTAGTTCCTGTAAAACTGCATTTATCTTTTTCACTGATTAATTGTTTTTTTTTATTTCATAAGAAAGCTAGAAATAGATGCTGATTTACAGGAGTTAAAGTCACTGAAAAAGAAATAGATTTACCTTCAAAATAGATAATAAGCAACTCTGTTCAGACGGTTTCAAATTCTTAAATCACATGAATTACGTAATCTGCTGCAGGCGGAGATAGCGCGTTTTTTTTTCTCTTGAAAAGAAAGAAGGTATTACAGCTTGGCTGGCTAATTTTCACTCGTCTGCTGCATTCAGCAAATATTGGAACTTCAGATTAACATTTATTCTGGTTTTGACAGAATTCTCTTCATGAAAAAGCCGTCAATCTTGTGGAAAACAGCAAAAGGAAAACAGAATAATTCTTTGCTGAGACAGATAAAATTGTTATGAAAGAATGAAATGTTCAAACTGACTGAATGTATCAAAAGATAGCGAAAAAAAGTAAAATATGTTGTTCAGTAAAGTTAAAAAATTGTCTTTTATCTTTACTTAATAAACCGAACGAACTATTTGCGTTTTACATACATACATACATATATATATATATATATATATATATATATATATATATATATATATATATATATATATATATATATATATATATATATATATATATATATATATATATACATATATATATGATTTATATTTATGTGTGTGCATGTGTGTGTGTGTGTGTGTGTGTGTGTGTAGAGTGAGTGAGAGAGAACTTAATTTCTTTCTTTTCCATTGTGTGGAATTTCTCTATCAGACAATCCAGACTACGAGGCTGGAAAGATGAAAGTCATTTTGGTAAACAAGTTTGAGAATTAATCAATATCTGCTTAACTACCAAGACAACCTAATGAATATTCTAAATATTTTAATTCTTTTTTTTTTCAACAATCTTTTCTCTAAATAAACAACACAATTTTACTCGTTGTCGCTGTGTTTACATTTATCAAACATTATGCTTATATTTTGAAATCTTTTTCCCGCTCCCGCTTAAAAGAGATAGATTTTCAACAGGCAGAAAAACACATCCCGTTCATTGGGTTCGTTTTTATCGTCGAAAATTTGAACTGAAAGCTCTCAAATAACGTCGACTGTCTAATCGTAACAATGCATCAAATAGCATTAATTTATCTACGAAAACAATATCTTTTTCACACCCGCACACTTTCTCTTGTGTCTTTTTTGCCTCTGTTAGGGAGGTTGATAATTTCCTTGCTTTTAGTAGGTGCTCGAGCCCGGCTCAGAGCTAAAAGGTCGTTTGCAGATTTTGCAAGTCGGCCTCGATGGGTCTACCCACTTTCGAATTAGGGAACTGGTAATTTGGTTCTGAGATCTACGAGAAAGTGCTAATCCGTCCCACTTCTTAAAATCTGGTCAAATGATCAAGTTTCAGGAAGTCTTTGAGAGTTTCATGGTCAGGCCGAAAACTTTTGTGTGTGTTTGTGTGTGTGTGTGTGTGTGTGTGTGTGTGTGTGTGTGTGTGTGTGTGTGTGCGTAAAATTCTCCATATACCTGCGTTGTTGAAGATGAATATGCGTGGGGTTGGTTAAATTGACAAAGAAAGATTTTATAGAAATATCAAGAGGAAAATCTTTTATGCCAACGCGTTTCGTTACATGAGGAATTTTATCAAATCGAGATTAGAAGTGTATAAATCTGTATATAACTATAAGCTACTAAATAAAATTTCTACACTTGCCTTGATAAAGTTTCTCAAGAAACAAAACGCGTTTGCATAAAAGTTTTCCTCGTCATTTCTTATTGGATTTACATATTTTATATTGGAGAGAGAGAGAGAGAGAGAGAAGAAGCAATATACACAGGGACAGCATCTCACGTTGTTAATTTTTCAACCAATTCAAGTTCTTTAAAAAAAGTTGATGTTCAAATCTTTATAAAAATGCGTCGATATTTTCACGAAGACATGACCCCAGATCCCCTGGAGATTGATGCCATGGTGTTGTCGGGAGTAAAAAGGAAGTTTCTTAGTTGCGAATTTTTTTGTTAAAATTATTAATTATACGAAGCTGTTTCTTCTTTTGGTTGGCTACGTCAGGCAACGGTTGGATTGGCTTGAGGTTGGCATGGATGATATGTAAGCCTGGTCAGATCGAAGTGTTGTATTCCTTGATCATCTCCTTGAAAACATGGGTCCAGTGAAACATGGTGCGAACGTCTCCATTATCCAAAATAATGTATAGGCCGTCACACTTGTTGACAGTTTCTGTAGTTCTTCTAGCTCTTCATCAGTAAAGATTTCTCGATCGTCATTCATGTATTGATAAGTTTTCCTTACCCAATTCTCGGATAGCCTGCAAAATTACCTTCACTTTTCCATCGATTGTAGCAAATCACTTGAAGTCAACAGTCTCACTACAATAATGCATACCAGTTGGCATTGACTGTGTCGGGCTTTAGGACATCAACAGTCTCGACAATTGTGAAGCTTTTCTCTAAATCCAGCCAAATTAAGCATAGCACAAATTCTGGTATAGCCAAGACATCGCATATGAAATGTTGTCTTGATCAACTGGGACGTTGTATTTGGGAACAGGAGCATCACTTTAATGTCTGTACTATTTACAATGGCCAGGAACATTGTCTATTATAAGAAACCTGAATGAGAGCAGTTCTTCCTCGAGGTATTTTTCGTTTTAAATATAATGAAGTCCTTGAATAAAATGACCCAAGCAAAATTAATCCAAGCCTTTTGACCGTGTTGCCAGAACACGGGAATTTATTTTTTATTTTATTCTTAATGTCACTGGAATGATTAACGGAAAACACTAAACCTGGCTTGATGATATGACCGGCTTCATTGTCACTTAACACAAGAAAAAGAAAGCTTTTCTAAACCTTACGTCATAGGGTTTCGTTGTTCCTTTTATGAAGTAAGATTCAGCATTGTCTTCCAGAAAACACCCACATTTGAAGACTTGTGCTTGACTGTAGGCTTTTTTCCTCGATTACTTTTATTGAGATGTACTTGTAGCCCCAATGTTGCTACCAAGCCAAAGTGGCTTCTTGCTTTCAAAAATTTAAATGCAATGTCAATTAATATCGTCAGTCTTCTTAATTCTTGTACCGTTATTGATCTCTTTCCTTAATAATGTTTTCTATTTTCCATATTTTTTTCACACTCAATAACCCCCTTGCATCTTAGTGGCTTTATTGTCTTGCTAAAAAAGCAAAACTCAGAGAATATTTTCTCCGCCTCAAACGATAAACTAAAATTTCTCCGAATTATATTTTCTTTTTTTTATTACATGGATACGAAAGTCGTTTCTCCTTATCTCCCTATTACTACTATGTCCGTTGATCTGATTTTCCGGAAACTGTCTATTTTCCTTTTCCTGATTTGCTTATTAGGTGCTGCTAGAGGTTTCAAAACGCAGCTGGCTAGGTATGAAGAAAGTGGTGTTTTGATTTGTGAAGAGAATGAATGATTTGCAATAAAGAAAAAAAATTGATTCCATTTTAATCTGTTATTGACATACATTCTTACGAAGATGATGGAAAGTAAAAGAAAAAAAAGAATATTGATGAATTTAGCTAGATTGCAAAATATTCTTTCAAAAAATTTTGAAACTACCAGCATCTCTCGTTCACGCGCATGTGTAATCACAACAACGTCAAGAAACCCAGTTCCTAACGGATGAAACGCGTCATATTTTTTCCATTTTGTGTTACAATTTCCTCAATATATCATTTGCAAAATTAGCAATTACCTGTACAATACAACTAGAATTTTGAATTTGATTAATAATTTTTGCTGTTTATTAAATAAGATTTAAATGTAAATTCATTCTTGTCGTCTTTACTTTTGTATCTGTAAATTCCTTATTGAAAATATATTTTGAATACTTTCAGTTTCACCAGATTTTGCCATGTTTCTGTGGAAACGTCAGATCACAGGTGCGGATCGCAGTAGGAATCGTTCGATATTTCACATTTTATTAACATTTTCATCTTTTTCGCTCAAGATCTGTTTCCACCTTTTACAAACACACTCACACGGTGATTGTTTTACGATAAAGAAACATTTCATTTCTCTGTAGAAATATCATTGGAGGCTTTTATAATATCTATATATATATATATAAAGAGAACTTCTACCCTTTGAATAATGCTACTAAATTAAATTGTTTATTAATACTGTAATAGATTAACCCGCGTTTTTTAAAATATTGTATTGGTTTACAAAGTTTAGTTTTCTATCTATCTATCTATCTATCTATCTATCTATTACATCATATTTAGTTGTTAAACGTGTTTGTTTAGATATGCTTGTATTTTTTTAAACAGTGAAATAAATGTCTACCGGTCTAGACATCAAAATTCTTAATAAAAAAATGTGCCTTTCAATAGGAACCGATTCACTTCCTGTTGGGAAGTAGGTTTTTATTTAGTAAGACTTTCAATCGCACGGCCGGTAGAAATTATTTCTACTATTTAAAAATCAGGGATGTCCAATCAAACCCGTGTATCCACTAAATATGACATTCATAATAAGAATAAATAATATCGAATTAATAAAGCAAATCCATTAAATCCTTAAAAATTACTAGGTAGCTATCGTGCATATATATATATATATATATATATATATATATATATATATTAATAAATACACTGCTCGATGTAATATAACAGGTCTATTAAGTATATATATTAATAAATATACATATTATCGCTCACCAGTAGCACTACTTGGAGTTTCGAGCACAACACAATCTCCAGGCGCTGTGTAGAGACTGATAGTTCCATAATTTACATTTTATTAAAAATATCTTGTTAAAGCGATGCTGGCGCAGCCCATATGAAGCGGATGCAGAAAACACTAAATCAAAAGTATTTCCACCATAAATAGCCATTGTGTGTAAAGAGGTTTCAATAAAATCTATTATTATTGTAACAAAAGTCCCTGCTTCAATTCTCGTTTCTCAATGAATTTCTTCTAAGGTTTTCAGTATCTCCCAAACATCTTTTGCAGAACTCCATGACAGGATATATTAACCAGTACAACTTGTGTACTTATATTCGGGTATATACAAATTTTCTTCTCTTTTTTCGACCCTGCCTTTTTTTTTCTCATTGTTCACGCGGATATGTTAAGATCTGTAAGCGTTTGCGGGTGTGCACAACTATTAGGAGGAGAAGAAGGAATATCTGTTGGGGGTGGTGGAGCTTGTTCGTTTGAACTTGGCAGGGGGAAAGAGTGCAACTGGAAATGGTCAGGGTGACAAATTTGGTGTCATCACCGAAATGATTTTTCATCAGGTGATCCTCGCGCGTTGCACTCTGAATTAAAAGTTTTGACAATCGCTTTCTATCAGACAATAAATGTACACACACACACACACACACACACACACACACACACACACACACACACATATATATATATATAGTTTTTACGTGTTTTGAGATTTTTAGAGTTTTTATATTGCGGCATGTGTGTGTATTAATGATTACATATTTAGTTCATACCTATTTATGAATAAATCTATTTAAATCTATAAATATGTAATTGTGTAAATAACATTATCTTTTTTTTTTTTATACAGGCTGTTAAAATCTATATATCTATGGATATATAATTTTGTACAATTTTATATATCAACAAACAGTATTTAGAAAAATATGACAAACTGGAAAATTTCTTATGGCGTGTTTCATCCGTTCTGATTTTATTGGACTGGACTTTGTTGATATTACCACGTCTACACATGCGCACAAAACGGGAGACGTGGGTAGTTTCACAAATAATAATGTTAAATGAACTTTTTAACAGAAATTGAAATTTTAGATTTAGTGTTAAGCGTCCCATCATTTTCAGCATTTCAAATAAAATTTTTTGTTTCGTTCCCGTCTGCTATATATATTTGACCTCAACAATAAAATTTTATTTAGTCTGAAGAAGTCTTTTCGATGGACGAAATTTTGTCATTCAATTACCCACCGTTTGTCTGATACATAAAGCTTATATATCATATTCTCCCCTCTCATAGACATGTGTGTGTGTGTGTGCGCGCGCGCGCTCGCGTGTGTGCGTGTAATTTGGAGAAAATTAGACAGCGGCTTATCGGATAATCCGTTTTGCAGCGAAAAGAATGCTCAGGTCGTAAGTGTTGGAATGAAGAAACGTTCTCCCATAAAAAGTGGTACATCTAAACGAATTGATGGCAGGATTGTTAAAATGGCAATTATTTCAATGCCATTTTCTTCCTGTTTGTCTTAAGAGGGAGAAAAATAGGGAAAATGGAATAAGAAAACTACGTTGAATTATTCCAAGAGAAAAAAATATGAAATATCCAAGGTACTCTCTATACACGCAGGCTTACGCCTGCATCACGTACGATCACCGAAGTTAAGCAACGCCGATCCTGAACAGTACTTAGATGGGTGACTGCTTGGGAATATCAGGTGCTGTAAGCTTGGATATACGAGTTTTGTAATGGATATTGTTAATCGGATAACTGAGTTCCAATTCTAGTTGGGTTTGTTATATCCAGCTACGCAGTAATAGCATTGGAAAAGGTAGGAATTCACCTTTTCTTTCCCTAGCTATGTCTTAATTATTAAAACTTATATCACTAAAACATTATTATCAAAAAAAAAATTCTTGCAATCTAAAAAATATTTTCTGTCTATAAATGACATACAAAAACGAATCAATTAATCTATAGCCGCATACTACACACACGTATAGATGTCGTGATATATATATATATATATATATATATTAAGACATTTTTATCTTTATACATTATATATATATATATATATATATATATATCATTGAATAATACAAATATCTTATGTTTTTTTTTATAATAATCCTTTCAAAGTTCTTTAATAAGTTTCTTGATAATATTTACATTATGCTAACTATTGTCCTCCTATTTGTTGTCATATTTATCACAACATTTCGGCCGTTGTACTCTCATGCCTTCTTCAGTTGGTTAGAATGTCGGACTGAACCCTTTATTTCGCTCGCTGGGGTAGACTGTTCTAGTTCCACATCCCATGTCTAATAGATGTCAGTTATCAGTTGTTAATTCACCTCTCCAAATTCTCCATTGCCTTAACCAGGTATTGAACTCACAACTCTTTGTGTTCTGTCACTGGATCTAACCAACGCCTTTATCCACTGTGCCATGTGTCCTGAAGAAGGCCGGAGCGTACAACGGCCGAAACGTTGTGATAAATATGGCAACAAAGATGAGGACAATAGTCCGAATAATGTAAATAGTTTACATAATAGCTCATCTTTGAAATGTAGACAGATACAGTTTCTTAATGTTAAGATGAAATTTATCAAGGCAAGCGCCGTAGATTTTTTCCTTGCCAAGTACTTTCGATCTTCTCCATGACAACGAACATTGAATAAAATTTATTACGAGTGTAGCAACAACGTTTTGAAGTGCATTTAATCAAGCCATTTTGCATTTACACCAGTTTCTGGCTATCTCCCTTATATTGGGACGCTAGTTTTGCAGAAATACCATAGCTACAACGGATAAATTAAAAACTTTAAAATAATTATAGCAGAGCGCGTTCACGCGTGTTTTTGTTTTTGTTTTTTTTAAAAAAAAAAAAACTATTAAAACGAGTTAAAATAAGTTTGTCTTTGTAATTCACTGCTGAGGATGATCTCGGAGGAGATTGAAAGTACTTAGGTTGGAAAAAATTACGGCAACTTCCTTGCTGAATTTTATCTCAACATAAAGAAACTGATTAGAGATCTATAAAGGATTGTTATAAAATAAATAAAAATAATATATCTATATTATCCAATGAAACATGTTTGAATGAAGATGTGCTGCATAAATGCACCCCCCACACACAAACATATATATATATATATATATATATATATAATTAAGCCGAGCATCTGATCGTTCGGTGCTAGATCTTTGTAACTGCGTAGGTCATATATAACACCCCTATACCCGTCATCCGGGTTCATAGGTAATTTTCTAAGTGAAGCTTAGATGTGACACAAGGCCAAAAGTACAGAGCACCCACACTTATCAGGATCATAGTTTGGTGTTTAAGTTTGTGTAAAAAACAAAGCAAAACAAAAAAGGAATAAGATTTTTGCTTGTTAACGTTGAATTTTAGCAGATCATACCAACTTAAAATGTTAGACCGACACTGTCAGTAGAGAACAGACCCGTCTGAAATTTACTAAAGATTCATCAAGTTTGTAGGAACATTTAAATTTACTTCTACTAAATAGTCGTAAAAGAAGATTAGTATCGAATTCGAAAGAGATTTGTCGTTAAAAAAACGCACCCAAGGACAAACCAGCATGAACAGATTGAACAACTGCTTTCTCGAACAGATATCGGTTATTTGGTCAACTGCGTAGTCTTGTCTGACGGCCAAGGTTACGACGACCAAATTTAACAAGTTTGTCTCGTCGACATGTCGCCAAAGTTCTCATAATAATTATTATCTTGCCTTTTTTTTTTATTAAAGGTACATGTCGATGACGATAGGGCTCTGACTGGGGTGGTACTGCGTAGGTGTCGAAATGAACAGTATCAGACTGGGGTGAATGTGGTTTTGTGAACAAATGGGGGACAGATAAGGAAATTAAAAACAAAAAAATATGGTAGTCATGAAAGCGGGCAGACATTTTTTTTACCTTTCAAATGGACAATAAAACTACAAAATAGTCACAAATGAAAAGAAACAATTTAAAACACACACACACACATACAAAAACAAGAAATCTATTTTCTAATGTTATTAAGTTGATGCAAAAATATCCAATATTTAATTACAATATATATTGTTTACATTATATTGGGACTGATGTCCTCATCTTTGTTGTTATTATCATCACGACGTTTCAGCCATTGTATTCTTCGTTCTTCTTCAGACACCCAGTCACTTGAAGAGTACAACAGCTAAAGATTTGTGACAATAAAAATGCAAAAACATACTCAAACAAAGCTTGAAACAATAAACTTAATTTCAAAAGCTATTGTTTTCCACGTCTGTTATGTACTTAAGAGTGTCAATTTCAGGTCAACACTACTACAAAACTGTCCTTATCAGGACAACATTTTCAGCGGCTTCCAAAACTGTCCTTTTCAGGACGACACTCTTCAGCGATTACAAAACTACTTTTCAGGATGACGCACTTCAGCAACTATAAAACTGTCCTTTTCAGGACAACATTTTTCAACGGCTACCAAAACTGTCCTCCCAGAACAACGCCCTTTTCATCCTCTACATTAACATGTAAAGATATTTTTTGCCTAGTGCATTGTAACCTTATTTTGGTTGATGCATTTTCTTTAACGAAAATAAACTCTGCAATATATTTTTTTTACTCAAGTCTTCGTTTTGTTTATTGTCGTCTTCCGTCATTCAATATTTGTTTGCGAACCAATATAATACCGGCAACAAGTGTATAATTTGAAATTGCTGACAAGACAAGCATTACATTGCAATAATGAGAGTCTGAAGATGAAAGGTTTCGAGAATAAGCCACATTTCAGCTCTTTGATCTTTTGCGGCGTCGAAGTGAAAAACAGGTAGAAAGTCGTGCGTAGTAAAATCACTGTTTTAATGCGACGCTCAAACGAATCATTTGTTCACTGTAGTATTGGTGTGCTAACAGTTAATCCAAGTCCCAAGCAATTGGCACTAAAGAATTCCTTTTGAATCCCATTACGGAGAATAATTCTCTACAAGCAGTAAATTATGTTTAGGTTGTCATATTGAAAAGCTCTCCTCATCAATATTTTGAAAATTTGTTTTTGTTTGGGTGCCTCATTACCGAATAATGACGTTGAAGATTATGGTTTATCGTTTAATATTAAGCCCAGACAAGTCTAAATGTAGGAAAGGTGTATAGGAAGATTATATTGCGTCAATTTTTCCATGTTATGCAAAGCATCATTCGAAGTTCTTGCTAAATACACGATACGACTCTTCTAAGCCAAAATATAAAAAAAATGGTCAAATCTCAAATGGTAAAATATTAAGCTTTTCAGATTCTGAACAGTAAATAATTCGTCAAGAAATAACAAATAATGTAAATTGGTGAACGATAGGGATGTTCGGGTAGTTCAACGGGTATCGTCGCAGGAAACGAAATCATAAAGCCAAATTCAAATTCCGGGTCAGTCTGTTTCACTCACTTTCGTAGAAAACATCCTTGAGGAGGAAGGCTTGAATCCATTCCTTCCCCGCCCAATTACGGATTAAATAGCAAGGTAGACTGGTCTATCAAGCTTTCCGTGGCAACCAGTCTTCATTGAAAACCGTGGAGAAGGCAATGGCGTACTATTCCACTATCTTTTCAAAGAATTCATGGCAAATCATAGATGATAAAGAAAAAGAATCTGTAGAGGTCTATTAACACCTACATCTTCAAGGGACATGGCAAATTAGAAAATATACGATAACTTTTTCTTTTGATGTCTTTTAATATTGGTCCTTTATGTGGATGGGTGGGGATTAAATTGTTGCATGAGTTGACTGTATGGTTGATAGTTTCATTTTATTATTAACTAGCAATAGTAAATGGCAGCGTCCACTTGAGATCAAGTGGCAACAATTCCCTTTAATAGCCCAGTACTAATAATAGTATTGTCGTAGCTTTCTGTAACGCTGCCGTCTAAATATTGCAAACACTTACCTAAATATCCTGTTCCGCCAGTTTTCTCTAGACACATCAGCATCATTCTTCGAGAACTGGTTTCGACCCTCATCACTGTCGATTGCTCCCTGGCAAGGTAAATATCTATATTTTCAATTTCATTCAGTCTTACTGTGGCATGAGAGAATAGTGAGACCAACTATCTGACAGGCTTTCTTTTCGTTTACTATGGCCAGATCCGGTCTTCTGGCTTAGAATGGATTATGCATTTGAATCTTAAAGCTCTAGAGGATATTATGTGTCAATTTCTTACATACATTCCGGCTTATGATTCTAGTGTTTGTGTATTTTGGTCACAGACGAAAATGTTGTCTAATTGCATGCATAGTTATTTTTGCATAGCTCTTGTATTCTTTCTACACTGATTTGTTTTGTTGATTTTTGTTATTGTTGTGTGATATTGGGTTATAGATATCGGAAGAGCCGCGTCTGCCCATCCTGACATCCACTCTGATAACGTTCACCAGGCACATGCATCACAATTAAACATTCGCGCGATATGTTAACAGATTTTGATAAAAAAAAATATCACAAAATAACGCAGTTAAAAATTACAGTGAAAAATAACTTCAGGCCGGGTAAGTTAGTAGGCTCAGATACTCTCCGATTCAGGGTTTTCCTAAGAATCTTGATGTTTTTTTTTTAATTTTTAATTAATGTTTACCGAATACAAGGCCCAAGTGCCAATCAAGGTTACTGTGTGGTGTTGCATTAGCGTAAGAAAGTGCAAGATAACAGGAATGTTAGAAAGC